GCGTATATACGTATGCACGTAGGAAAGTAAAAGAAATCAAGAGATCATTTTCTAGGTTCTCTTGCCTTGAGAAAAACCATTTCAATGCCTCCACATTATTAGAGAAGGTGCAAAGCAATGAATTTGAATGCTTATAAAGTATGATTGATACTAATTTGATTCCGACACTGAAATTAAAATTTTATTTTATCTTTTAAAAATGAAATGGAAGAAACTATTAAAAATGTATCATTATAAACATCATCATCATCATCATAAAACGGTATTAAGTACTAGTCTCATTTGGAAAATTTATGAACTTAAATATTTGTAAAGTAAACCACTTTCTTACGTACACCAAAGGAATCATAAATATTGTTTTGCAATTACAAGCAATATAAAATGAATGTTATCAAAATAACATGATAAAATTTATTCATTACTTTTCGTTATCAAAAATATGCAATATCGTAAATTTGTAAAAAGAGAAACTATTACGCAATAACGTGAGAATGATACGTGACAAGATTTTTTTCTTAATTTAGCAATTGGATTTTTCCACTTTTTCGTGGTCAGGGCCTGGCAATGAATTTTTTCTGCCGAAAAACTCTCAAATGGCAACAAGGTTGAAATAACTTAGTCAAAGACCTTGGGCAACTTTCAATGCTTAGTCAATGCACTCACCTCTGCAACGGCGTGGCCTGAAGAAAGGGCTGCGTAGTGACGACGCACACTTTTCAATTTCGCGTCGCTAGCTGGTCAAAAACGCAAAAATCAACTTCCTTGAAATAGGCCAATATTAATATTGTTTCGAAGTACATACACCAGAGCACAAGCAAATGAGTTTGACCACACACTGACAGCAATGCGCACGATGTGGTAACGTCCCGAGGTCAGCCGTCGGTGAGTCTCCACCAGAGCTATTCCATTCCACTCAGCAACCTTGTGAATAAATGCTTTTACAGTTCTCTGCGAGCTGAAATTCGACTGCGTCGACATGAAGTACTCTGACGCAGGAATGTCGCTCTCTGGGAACACAAATTCTTGAAGGTATTTCCCAAAATTATATTGATAAAAACAATTATTTTAATACTGCTTCACTTAGACAGATATTGCATGATACAAAGTTTCTGTACTTCCACAATAAAATCTTATTTGTTTTTGCTTTCAAAATTGTACTGACTCATTACTGTATATATCATTCCTGCGGTGGTAGAATATTTCTTGCATCTACACGAAACTTTGTGAGATATGTTCTTCTTTTATAGCAGGCCTGCACAGCATTTTGCACTTTGACTGACCTCGGGAGCCGCGCGGGAGCAACTTGAGAGCAAAACCGGGCCGCGTGGACGGGTGCGGATAAGACTCATTCTAAGAGTGGGGACTGACAACGAGAATGCACATTTCGAACCATAGCGCGTAAATTGAAAGAGCAATTGCGAGAAATTTATTACATACAGTTCAAGTTGCATTACCATTCATTTTGGAAATGTTTGTTGTTGATGCATGACAATGTGAACCTTTGACGACGTAGACATACATATTTTATTTGGATACTAGTATTACAATTGCTTGTAGGGCTGATGATGTAGAATTTGCTTTGAGCTCTCCGATGTAATCACTAATTTAGCATGCCGCTCAATACAAAATTGTAATATTAAGTCTTTTTTTATTTGATGACAGTCATAAATTATTTTTTCATTACCTATGTTTAATTGATTAAGACGGTTGTATCAAAGCTAAAAAAATCTTATTCTTAGAAAATCATCATTACTTTTTCCTCTAACTTCCAACGAACACTATTTATTCATAATCGTATAAAAATAATAAGCACTTTGCCTTGTATTTAACAAGACTCGTAATAATGTCATGCTTGTACGTAAAATACCGTAAAAGAAGTTTGGTCATTGTTATCTGTTATTGAGCTTCATAAGAAGGAAAAGGGTCACAAATATATGTGCTGCAAAAGTTACCTTTCTTGGAATTGCCTGTATTTCATTTTCATATCAATCTCGATGTGGGAGACTGCTCTCAACTTCCTCCGCTTTGCTCTCATTCGGAGATCATGACATGCTTAGTGAAAAAACAATTAATAAATTGTAAATTTTTGTTAGTAAAATTACATAACAAATGTTTAAAAGAGGTCACTGCTTTAAAATATTGTTTATGAGTTACAATGAGCATAAAGTAAAAAAAAATTTAAAATGCCGATACATAGCAATGCACACAGGCACATAAACAGTGTAATATGGCCATTGTATCTAGAAATACGGTAGATTAGCCGACGAAATAAGTGAGCAAATCATTTTATAGCATAGATAATTGCATTAGACGCCCAGACACTTAATCTACGCGCCGCGTCGACCCCACTCTCGCGTCTCCCCTCCCCCAACGCTGCCTACACCCTACTGCTTGCAGTTTGGTAGCTCGGCTGGCTCGTAAGCGAAGAATGCCCGCGGAAGCGAGCGTGGTGCAGGTCAGTTTGATAGGAATTGCACTCTCGTGCGGCGTTATCACCCACAGACAATTGTTCTAGTTCGACTGTTGAGGAGTGGGCAGTCACATCTCGAGAATAGAAAATAAAAAATCTTTAATTACATCATGCCGAATGTGAGACTTAAAATCTTGAAGTCAACTCAGGAGGAAATTTACATAAAGTCTGGACATTGTTTTACAATATCACAAAGTGTTGGAATATCACCGTATAGAAACAAAGCTGTCAAGTATATTCTCTGCATGGCTAGTGAAAAGTTCTGTGTATCGAAACGTTCTGAACAACCCAGTACGAGATAGGGAAGGCCTAAAAATCTCTTTCACGAAAGCAGAGTCAGAAGAAACAGGTCAAAGATCCTTGACATGTTATCAGAAAGAACTTCCCCTGAGCCGTGAAATGACGTTCAATGTTGTTTCAGATTAAGTGGCCAAAGAAAGATTTACTGATTTCATAGAATAGACCTCAACTAGTACTCCTGGAATACTGAGTGGAATGAAGCACGCAGCAGATTAAGTCAGAGCGTAGGCTTCCGCGGCCGGAGTCAGTATTTACTAGGCTGTGCGGGTGACGCCGCGTCCTCAGGATATTACGCCCTGAGGAAGGTCGCAGAATGGCGACCGAAACGTCGGCACCTTCGCCATGGACGCGGCGTCACCCGGACAGCCAAGTAAATACGCAGAAGATTTCCATGAAGCACAGTCTGATTGCTGCTCTCCTGATGAAGCGCTAGTTTGATATTGGACATGACAATGACTCGTAACGCGTACACAACTCTACGAGATGCTTCACTCAGAAAAATTAGTCTCTGCCCCTTTATCAAAAATCCTGGAAGAATAAATTAAATATTATTTGAATAAATAGGCTGTTATTATGACGGGTACTTTGGACCAAATTAAACTTCAGGAAATTCTAAACCTCACTTCACACGTTTGTGCACAATGAAGGAAATCATCTCAAATACTTTGAAACTTTGTGTTGGAAATACGGAGAAAAACTTGGAGTGCAAACATTTCTCCGAGGGAGAACTCAAAATATGTTTTGATGGTGATAATATTTTAATGATTAATTATAAGAATTTTCAACAAATGTTAAAAAATATAAAAATATATCAATGTTACGTAATCGAATGCCCGCTGCCCCTATGTAACAGTACTGAGTGATGCATGCTCCTGCACGTGGCAGTGCCAATGACGCGTATGGTGGAAGTTTAAGCAATTGTTACAAAATGTCTATTTAGTTTTATTATCTCATCCGTTTCTTCAAAAAGTAACTGCAGTTTACCGTCGCGACAAAAAATACTGATAGTTACAATATAGATATAGTTCAACACTCAGAATGGTAATTATGCATACATCAGTTCATTTTGAACTAAGTGCCTAAATTAAATTTCGTTTTTACGTACCATCGAGATTACGGAAAATGATTTTTGTTCACCTAGCAACGCAAAATTGGTCATTGTACGGCGACAGTACCCTCCTCCAAGTCACGAAGTAAAAGAGAGAAGGACGCCTCAGATGCCCGCTTATGCAGCATCCTTGCCCATTCAGCAGGGGATTGCTTGCGACAGTGCAGACACAGTGCAGCCTCGCGACATTTTTGATGTACATTTTATTATGGAAAATATTTTTTCAATATTGTAATTGTAGGAAAATGCTTAATACATATTGGACGTTCGTTATTTTCGAAATGTAGAGAGTTCAACGCAAATACGACCTACGCTATTTCGTTTAGCGTGTTTTAACTCAGCTTGAGGAAAAAGTTAAATAAAGAATGTAGAGATCCCTTTCTTAGAAATTTTTTAAAACGCGTTGAAGCTTCATGTAAATTACCCCCCAAAATCAAACTGTCCGTTTTAAATTCAATGGACCGCAACATTAGTGAGCTTTCATCAGGAATAAGAATTTCGGTGAAAATCCTGCTCACGGCTTAGTTGCCAGCATTGTGTACAGACAGAGAGAGGGAGAGACAGACAAAAGGATTGCCCATAATCCAATTGTTCTACCGAACAATGACTCACCAATTGTGAATTCTGACTAAACATAATGTTAGAGGAAGGTTTTTACTACATATAGGAGCAAGATTTTTCCACTTTTTTGTTACCAGGACCAGGCGATAGGAGTTTTTCTGTCGAAAAGTCGTGTTTTTCTGCAGTATTGCAATATTCAAATTAGCAAAATTCTCATTAGCAACAAATTCTCATTAGCAAAATGCGAGAAAGTAAAAATAAGTAATTTTGGCGCACTTAAAATATACCATGTACACAGTAAATAATTGGTTTCGAATTAAAAATAAATAATGTCTATTGTTTTACAAACCCACCACTGAATGCGTTTCATGCGGCATTAAGCATGGATCTTCTGGAATTAAAAGAAGTACATATGAATAGGTGAAATTGTGTAGAAATGCCAGGGCGTGTTTGGACACGGCGCAGGAGGCGACTGCAGGGGCCTCGCTGTGTTGTCGTCCCCTCCCCCGCTGAGCGTTGCGCTCATGGAACAGCCCTTGGATGGAATAAAAGACTCAATGTGTTCAAAATAGTACAACTCATGTTTTGCTTTGCTTTTAATAAATATACCAATAACAAACATGACGATTTTGTACATGATACAAAATTACAGTCACTATTCCAGTCGTGAAATTAACACCGATCGCTTTCAACTATTTATCTGGTACGCAACCATGAAGACCGTGTATCCGAATAAAAATTATCGCTTTTTCTTACCACCTTCTCCCTGCTGCCAGTCACAAGGTGCGATACATCAATCGTAGGAAGCGCTGTCATTTGCGAACACAATATAGTTACAATTAGGCGCTTTATGAAACATTTTTGAAAGGTAATTTCATTCATGGAACAGTCTTATTAAATACCACTCGGGCATTGGAAATTTCCAACGTCGCTTTGCGATTCGCGAATTTATCGGACATTTCCAATGAACATGTGGCGTGATAAGGAAAACCAATACATGTAATTTAAATAAATGGTAATACACTTTTTATCATTTATAATTTCCTTTGTAATTTAGTATTCAAGCAAAATGTATGAGGCGTATGTTTTCATCATTAGACCGATGACACTATTTGTATAATAAATTTACAGCAAATGAAGACTTGCACTAGACGTCTCTAATGACATCTTTTTCAGGAAGTATGTATAACAAACATGTAACTTTAAGAAAGATTGGAACATGCTTGACACAAATCATTATGCCAATAATATTTGTAAAAACTCGGCAAATTATAATGTGTTTGACAAAGTATTATATTTTGTATAAAGAATAAAGAAAAAAATATTTGTTGTAAGAACGAAACATTCATGAAAAAACTTTTCGTCTTAATTTTAGAAAATTAAATTATTACAGCATTTACGTTATGCTTATACCGAAGTATATTTTACATTAACAATTTTTTTTATTTATATAATTTATATTTGAGTAGTTTTTCTACTTCAAATACTGCTATAGGAAAATTAAGGATTTTTTTCAACGTCTGACTTAATGTACATGAATTGTTGAATGTAATTTCTATGCATAAAAACGTATTTATACTGATCTCTTCAAAGTGAACCTTTCGCCAATCATCACTTTTACGCAGTTTCCTGCAAAGTGAAGTAATTCTTGTGCGTATCATAGTAACCTATCCTGATTACCAGTTATATATACTAACGAATTAGTTTCAACCACGGAAACTAGAAACAGGAGAGCGTTCTCTACCAGATGCGCACGCCCAAGTGTGTAACAGTATTGTTCCTCACATTAAGAATATGACATCGACAACACAACATAGAAATTCAAACATCGATGTTAACAATTCGTCGCCTACAAACCATCTGGTTTATTGCCTACATTAGGGATCGCACGGGAAGAATTCGAACTGAGAGAGGCCGTATTTTTTATTTTGTTTTTTTATTTTTCGTGTTCGTCGACGCGTCTCTAAACCCTTCTGAGCATTGAGCGTATCTGAAGGAATCCTCGATAAGTGTTTGTCTCTTTGTCTCGTCACGTCGCAGTCAGTGCCTTTTATCCCTTCGGTCATGGGCTCGGTGCCGTTTGTAAACGAGGTTTCCAGACGGTCACCCGCCTAGGAATCCTCGGAGTCTCGAATTTATTAACTTCCATCACTTTTCGGAGCGCAGTTAAGTAATTCGGCTAACGACGCCCGCTTGTTTCTCATGCATAATAAAGATTTAATTGACGAAAATTGAAAATAATGAGGGGTCAGGAGGCGTACGCCCGCCGCCTCTCCGAGGGAACGCCAAGGCACCGGGATCGGGCCTCATCTCACTGGTCGATGGAGGAAGTACAAAGTTCGTGGCAACAATTATTTCATTTTTTAACTTTCACATAATTATTAATTCACAAGCAAAAAAATTATCAAAACATAAAAGCACCGACGGCCCTCAGATGACAAAGGTCGCTAAAGCAGTAGTGCTGGACTAGAATATGGCGGGTTCGAGAGTCGCCCCGGTCATGGTTGTGTGGTGTATGTGCGGTCATGGTTGTGTTGTGTATGTGTGGTCATGGTTGTGTTGTGTATGTGCGGTCATGGTTGTGTTGTGTATGTGCGTGTGTGTTGTGTATGTGTGTGTGCATGTACGCGTGGCCCAAGTCAGCCAATTCGCGAGACAAAAAAACATTACCGATGTCAAAAAACATCATCTTTACTAAAATAATAAACATCGATGTTTTTTAAAAATATTAACATCGACGTCGTATCCCCACCTCACACATCGAAGAGTCAGCTCTAGAATTGAGCTTCCTCGTGCGACAAATGCGGGTCCAGGGTAACAGTTGAAACACACTCTCCTGTTTCTAAATTTTCATGGTTCACACCCCTGAAAGTAACGCCATTTTAAAAAAAATTGAGCAATGTCCTGTGGCATACTCCTAATCTTGTAGCTTTTTTAAAAAACAAGGAGCATTTACTGTTTTCTAATTAACATTTGCATTATGCAACAAATCTACACGTTTCAGGAACTCGTACTTTCAAACAGGAGTTGAGTTTAGAAATGGTGCCGAGTCATTCAACGTACATGATGCGTTCACGCAGAGACCTGAAAAGACAAAAATACAATAAACAAATACGATATGCGCAGGTGGAGTTTCCATGGGGCTTAAGAGCATTTCCCATAAATGTATACGAATTTCTTTTCACAAACAGTTCCTTTTAAATTAACGGCAGTCACTTTAAATAGAAAAGTAATTTATTCTGTCCCTTTAAAATCATTGCAAATAGGCAATCGGCAACGTTTATGCTAAATGATTTATAGCCATGTTCAGACCTATGTTATAGAAAATACTGATTATATTTATGGAAAACGTGATTTTTTTCACAGAGAAGGTTTGCCGTACTGTTAATTTTATTGTAACTCTACTATACGGCGATGCAAAACAAAATTGCGCTTCATTTTAATTTAATTTCTATTCAAACTGCGCTCGATCTGCGGGCTTCATTGTTGCTGACCGTTGACGCAGGGCAAAGCCCAGGAGAACCGGTCGCACACGCGAGAGAGACAGTAAGGCAGAAAGAGAGAGTGTTAAAGAGAGAGAAAGAGAGAGAGAGAAAGAGAGAGAGAAAGAGAGAGAGAAAGAGAGAGAGAAAGAGAGAAAGAGAGAGAGAAAGAGAGGGAGAAAGAGAGAGAGAAAGAGAGAGAAAGAGAGAGAAAAATAGAGAGAGAGAGACGGAGAGATGCAGGGAGTGACGGAGACAGCGAGAGAGAGATGGAGGGAGAGGGGGGAAGAGAGAGAACGAGAGAGAGAGAGGCGATGCGCGAAAGTAAGGGAGACTGAGTGAGAGAAACAGAGATATAAGAGGCAAACAGAGACACATAGAGAGATATAGTCAGATAGAGAGAGAAAGACGGTGACAGTGAGACAGGCAGAAGCGGACCGAGACAGACGCAAAGGTAGACAGAGGCGGACATAGGCATAAAGAGACCCAGAGAGACAGAGATGCAGAAAGATATATACATAGACATACAGAGATAGAGTTGAGAGAGAGAGAGAGAGAGAGAGAGAGAGAGAGAGAGAGAGAGAGAAACAGAGAAGCATAGAGAGACACGGAGAGACAGAGGGAGACATGAAGACACAGACAGAGAGGGACAGAGAGAGAGAGGCAGAGTCAGAGACGGAAAGGAACAGGGACAGGGACAGAGAGAGCGGTAAACTCAGAAAGACAGAGATAGAGACAGATAGACAGAGACAGTCATACAGACTGAGACAAGGACAGAGAGTGACGGTGAGAGAAACGGTGAGAGAAAGGTGGAGGACAGCGGCACGCTTAAGAGAGGGAGACAGGTAGACACAGACAGAGAGAGGCAGAGACAGACAGAAACAGAGACGCGGAGAGGGCTTTAACTTGCTTTAACTTGCTTTAACTTTTGTAGGACATTTAATCTCACCCTCACTTCGCCCAGTGGGCCGTGCCGGTGGCGCTACGAGTCGTCCGGGAAGGGAAGCCAAGTGGGTCTTCGTTGAGCTTTACTTTCCGCCACGTCTGCCAGATAGCAGCCGTGTCGTTCCGACCGCAAAAGTGTTGCTGCCCACTGCTCCACCTGAAACTGTCATATGGCAGATTACATGGCATCACATTTTATCCATGACACTAATATCTTTACAGCCATTTCATCTATGTACATTACAGCTAAGGTCCACTATCGAATAGAAGTTTTAAACATTACGAGTGGGCCTTATTGTAAGAATCAGCCAACAATCGAAGTACCCAACACTTCGTATTACTTTGAAATGTATACCTAACAAAACGTAATATGATCTGTTTGAGAGTCACTGCATTACAAGGAAATATATTAAGTGAAGCTGATATTCTTACCAGCAGATTAAAAGAACACAACGTTTTTACACCAAGAATTTGAATAATACACGAAAACTAATCATTTCAGTTCGAGAGACTGTAGTTTACCAAAAGTAATCTTCAATAAACATCAACAAAGAACAAGTGCAGACTTTTGTTAATAACAATTGCTTCAGACAGTAAAACACTTTTGATTTTAACTGAAAAATGCAAATATTTGACAGTATTATTCCGCCTACTCCCAAATATCGGGTACCGCCTGAAATTTCATGCTCAGGGCATCAGTGTTTACAACACAGGCGATGCCATGTGACAACAAGGATCCAAACACGAAACAAGCCGCCATTAAACATTTGCTATTCACGAGTTGCCTTAAAGAGCAGCAACGTTTTTATATTATCGGTACATTCAACACTCAGTTATTGCAGTATTTGTGAAAACTGTTTTTGTTATAATGTTGAATTAACTGCAGTGTTATATGAGAGAATATTATTTATTGATTTAACCAATTTACGTAAATATTTTATATTCGGTTTGTGGAATTTCGTTCAATAGCATTTTTTCTACTGCATGCCACTAGATATCTTAAAACAAGAAGTTCTGACGTGTTCTTTACTTGCCTTATGGCTACATGAAAACACTGTTACTATGTGAATATACTAATGTTGGCATAGTGACAAGACTAACAGAGCTAAAAGCAGATGCTAGACAATGTTTGTGAAATCAATTCGAATTGTTTGAACGTGTTCAACAGCAACGCCGCTCTCGCATTGTGTTTGGCATAATTGAGCGTGAGAGGAGACGCTGGCGTATCTGAGTTGGCTAGCAGAGCGACCGGGAGAGGTGGCTCAGAGCATTTACTGATGCCTCGGCAGTGCCTCTGACCGTGAAGTTCTAGATTCGAGTTCCGACTGTGAATTGAATTGAATTAATGCCTTATTTTACGTGTCGGGACTCAGGTCATGAGGCCTGCTCTTCCGTCTGACCACGCAAATTTCTCTACCGCCCTTTCACTAACAGAAAAAAGAGGTATTTTTTGGGCGAGACAGAGGCGATTTCAATTTATCTCAGAGGTGTCATTTAGGCTTGAGGATCTTTTACATGCAAGTAAAACTACTAACATGGGACAGCCGGCTTTACTTCCCCACCGAAGGAAGACGTACGAAAGATTTTTTCGCCCTTAAAAATCCACGGGTTTGAACCCGCCAACTTGGGTACAACAGTCCGGTACGCCATCGCCGCGCGCAGGCTGTGGCAGGATTTTCAGACTAGCTTGTCCGCTAAGAAACATTCTGTCACTGGGAGAAAATTCTAGCGGCCTGCACATCTGACCGATAGTTTTGCGTGGTTTCTCCGTACAATAACACGAGAATGCTGGAGCAGTACCATAACAAACAGGCCACTGAGCGCGCACGACCTTTCCTTCTTATTCCTTTTCCTATCCTATTACTTACTTAGATACACTACACCACCACAATGTAGTTAGCTTAGAGCTTGAACCCAGGTGGTGCGGTGCCACGCTGGTAGGAGATTGTTGGGGAAACCATGATAGCCGACAATAGGTCGGAGCCGTATCTTACCATCCATCCAGCGGTATGATCCCCCCCCAGCGCAATCAAACATGTACTACACATACGGGACTAATGACCTAAGCTGTTAACGCACCAGGATTGGTTAAAAACAAACCAACCAACCACCCAAAGCCAGCAGAGAGCGGAGCGCGAGAAGCAGCTATAGGAGCAATTTAACAGCGACAACGCCAATCGCATCAGGCATGTCGCGACGGAGCGTGGGAGGGGTGCGCGTGGGTGGAGAGGCGTACCTGCGCTGGCTAGCAGAGCGGCTGCGGCGGCGCCTGCGGCTGCGGAGAGGTGGAGCGAGACGAGCGAGTGGAGGAGCACTCGGGCAGCGGCAGGGCCACGTTGCTTTGGAAGGCGCCGCTCACGTTGCCAGGCGGCCTGTAGTGCGCCACCACCAGCACCTTCCCAGCGCGCGACCGCGCCTTCCCCAGCCCCAGCAGGCGGCAGCGCGCCCATACCAGCTGCGTGGAGTGCCCTGCGCCCACACACACAGCCCTCCCTCACTCCCCCACCCCAGCGGGCGGCAGCTCGCTCCCACCAGCTGCGTGAAGTGCCCTGCGCCCACACACACAGCCCTCCCTCACTCCCCTACCCCATCGGGCGGCAGCGCGCCCACACCAGCTGCGTGGAGTGCCCTGCGCGCACACACACAGTCCTCTCTCACTTCCCCCCTGATTCACACATCCGCGCTCCCTAGTTCCAGTCGGCGTCACACACCGCTTTCCCCTCTTCTCCAGCCCTAGTAGGATACTTTCCTCTACTACTCTTCCTGCCATTCTCGGCCCTTGAAGGCGCCTCCTACCACACACACCGCTTTTCATCACTTTCCCTGCCCAAACAGGCAATATTGCGGCCACACCATTTGCGCGAAATGCCCTGTTCCAGCACATATACTCTCTCACTGTTCCCCCTCCCTTCCCGAGCCTCAGCAAGCCACTTCCACCCCACTTACATCGCTTCCTACATTGATACCAGTAATATTGACATTTGATTTCATTAAAATATTTTTATCAATAAATCATACACATAAATGTATACAATTATATTCTGATTAACATTTGATATCATGATTCCTAACTTTTGATATAAATGTTTATTAATTACCCAAAATATAAAATTTATAATTGTTTTCAGAATAGGACGTCGTAGTGTTTAGTCGCGTATTTAGGCACAATGTTTTATTAATATTTTTGGATGTAAACGTCTTGGAGAAAGAGGTTTAAGAGCTACAATGTTACAGAACAGCAAGGACGTTTACAGGAATAAAAGAGGAGTCTGGCAATAACTAAGACTTGGAGGGAGAAGTAGAGAGGCAGGCAGGGCCTTTGTGTTGGCTAGGCTCTCCGTGACGAGCCGCGTCAATGTCATGGTGGCCAACGTTTCGCCCAGCGTATTGTGGCCTTCTTCAGCCAGCAGTACGCCCTGAAGAAGACCAAAATACGTTGGTCGAAACCGTAGCCACCATGTCAGTGAAGCCTACGCAACCGGACAGAGCCTTTGGCGAAGGGACGATTAGCGCAGAACCCAGCGTTCGACGGCTCTCAGAGCCTGCAGGCGGTCCCAGGCGCCGCAGGATGTTTCAATGCAACGGACCTTGAATATGGGTTGCGTCCAGAAAGTAAGTTTCCGTCGGTCGCCAACTAAGAAACAATTTAATCGAAGAACATTATTGTAGCAGAAACATCACATGTAATTTTCATCATAATTACAATTAGAATTGAGACATTTGTCACATCATGGGAGCAGCATTTGAATCTCTGTATCTTAGAAGTCTGTCTTCTGGGAGAGGTACCAATGTTTGACAGCCACCTGCCACTCTGCGTAATTGTGATACGCCTAATGTAAGGCAGAAATTACACGAGGTGGAAGAAAAAACGGAAATCGACGAAGGCGAGATTTGGACTACAGGGTGAATGGTGAAATACCCCCAGCGTAACTGTCACATAGGATCTGGCACAACACACTGACACACAAGCACCCCGCACTACCTCATCAAATAATGATCAGCTTCCTTAGTAACTGAATATTTAAAGTGTAAGTTAACAATCACCATTAAACTGTAAATCCTGTACCCGTCGTACTAACCCCAAGGATATACCTCTCATCAGAATTGTTCATACACGAATCCAAACTTCCAAAGTGAACACCGTCCAAACCGCACAATTTCCTGTTGCACAGCAATTTATCTAGATGGTAGTTCATTATTATTATTATTATTATTATTATTATTATTATTATTATTATTATTATTATTATTATTATTAGACTCATATTGCAAATATAACTCATTCTTTTAGCTAGGCTGACACCTTTAAATTTCAGCGAAACTTTAAAAGTACCAATGAAAATATTCAACTAAGTCGACACTCTCCCCCAATGTCTCTCTAAATCAACAATCAACTCATAAACTAAACGCCCTACATACAGCTCAAATACCTAGGCCTTCACATGAACCCAAATTTAAAATAAATCAACTCATAAACACCAAAATAGATCAAGCCAGAAACATGTTATTCAAATAAAACCTTAAATACTTACACGCTCCGCCTACCTCCAGACAAAACTGCCCTCATAATATCGCAAAACGATAATAAGATCGTTACAACTATATGTAAGTCCAATCTAGATCAATTTGTCAAGACTAATATTTAAAAAAACGTCAAATAATCCAGTATCGTAATAATAATAATAATAATAATAATAATAATAATAATAATAATAATAATAATATCCAAAAATTTACTAAGAATAATCACCAACACTCCTGGCGCATCACAAATGCCCTACACCACAAAGAATGTTAATCCGACTCCATAGAACAGCAAAAACACACTGATTCACCCACTTGTATCACACCTTACGTCAGACCTCTCACCTCGGACCTTTAAACTCCGCAAAATTACTCTTTGTGAAGCCGAGCCGTGTGTCGCGGGGCGTTACAGTTTAGGAAGACAAAACCTGCTCTACTGAGCATTACGTGTCGCATTTTCTGAATACCCTTCCCATTTTGCTGTCCAGAAGCTGCATCGGCTACAATAAAGTTTTTCCATGAAAATGAGTTTTCTTTCTGTTGATGACCTAGGGAAACTTATTTTCAGGTTTGGCCTCATATTTGGGATTTCGGATGTAAAAAGTGTAAATTCAACTTCCCACGTCCTTCAAACATAAAAATAACCTTGCTACGAAATTTTTTGAAACTAACAAAAGAGAGAATTATTACAAAGCTCGTATTTACAAAAAGGGAGATGGCATTGAGGTGTAAGGACATTGTGTGGCCGCAGAAGGGCATCTCACCAGCGTTGACGTTGGCGTGGAGGACATCGGGCTCCTTGTCGTAGTTGTACTGGCGGCAGGCGCTGTACCAGTAGCTGGCCACTTCTTGCCCTGCAACAGCACCACGCCACTCAATCCGCATCAAGGAAGGGAATCTGAGGACTTTTGCAGAACGTCGCGTGCACCCACACATAAGAACACGCACGCTCCCTCGCGTGCTTCTTTGGGAAGGGTGATTCCGACCGAGCGCAAGCGCATTGTTTTGTAAGGAGGTGCAAAAGGATACTGCGCATGCACGCGCAGCGAATTCTTCGTCGAAGGAACGCGCATGCGCACATTGGGAATTCATCGAAGGGACGCGCAGGTGCATTGTTTTTTCCGAACGTTCAAACCGACTCTGCGCATTCGCACACTCGGAATCCTTCATTGAAGGGAAGGGCATATTCACTGTTGTTTCGGGACGTACCAACCCACTCTGCGCATGCGTACACTGGGAATCCGTCATTGAAGGGAAGCGCAGATTCACTGTTGTTTCGGGACGTACCAACCCACTCTGTGCATGCGCACACTGGGAATCCTTCATGGAAGGGAAGCGCAGGTGCACTGTTGTTTTCGGACAAAGCCACTCTGCGCATGCGCACACTGGGAATCCTTTATCGAAGGGAAGCGCAAGTGCATTGTTGTTTTCGGACAAAGCCACTCTGCGCATGCGCACACTGGGAATCCTTCATCGAAGGGAAGCCCAGGTGCATTGTTGTTTTCGGGCAAAGCCACTCTGCGCATGCGCACTGGTGCGCTGCGAATCCGGTTTTAAATTTTTTGCAGCATTTTTAGGTTCTTTTAAGGCTTGTCATTCAAGGGCAGATTCAAAAGTTGCTTTACGGGTTTGATTCGAATTTATCCATTACACTGTTGGTATACTTTGAACAATTTCCATTTTTTCTGTTTTTGGACGATTTTCCCAAACATTTTATGTCCCATTTTCCACGGAATACATTAAACACGACTTGATAAAGTTTATAAAATAACGTATCACATCGCGATCAATGTAACATATGTTCACGTTTACTATTAGGAAGAATGTAAGTAGTTATTAAAAATTTAATTTTATTCAATAAAGCAACCACATTTAGTTAACCAAAGATATGATTACAATATATATATATATATATATATATATATATATATATATATATATATATATATATATCAAGTGTCCATCTGTTTGTCATCATGGTGAATTTTAAAATTTATTCACGCATTCTATACATCGTTTTTATCAGAAACTGGTGAAGGCGGCGATCCTTCGCCTTTTATGTATTACACTTCACACGCGACTAGTCACGTAATTGTTAATCACGTTTTACGCTTCGATCTGTAAAAATTATAATAGATGAAAGACTTATTCGCGAGTATGTGTTTGTTCTATGTCCTGGTTTGTACATTTGTGTCAAGTACGTGACACGTTCTTCCTCAAGTTTGGGCATGCATTCGCTATGACTGTGCATGCATTGGGCAAGCATTCGCTGTGTTGGAAAAATTTCATTTACTTGCCCGACATAATTTTCAATCAATAAATCCCGTACAATATCAGGAGCAGCATATGCAGAGAAGGTGAGCTTCATACTTAAAGGTGCGTCGGATTGCGTAAAGATTCTCTTCACGATCGTCATAAACTCATAATCAACAAAGCCCCCGTTTTGCGACTACGTGCGATAAAAATATGTACATTCCAATTTTACTATGCCGATAACCTTCGCGCAACCAATAAGTTGACAAAGTTGTATTGCAATTGAAACAATGGCACGGCAGCGCATAAAATACGAACAAACATTGATTTTTATATACAAGATTCAACACATTTCCAAAAATAAAATGTATCATTTCGCGAGACTTCGGGACCAGATTCAAATTTTCAGTAATTGTTTTGACGGAAGAGATAAGGAACCTTACTAGTACGAGAAAGCCTGCGCCAATTGTAGCACCACTAGTTTACATTCTTGCATTGCACGTTCGTACTAAAAAATAATGCAATAATTCCGGTGGGAAGTAGTGAAGAGGGGGGGCGTACCCGTGACGTCCGTCTGGAAGCCGGGCGCCGTTTGGCGGCAGAAGAGGTTCTGCCCCACGTGGCGGTCGCTGCGGTAGTAGAAGTTGTTGTTGTGTGCCAAGTGGTTGGCCCACCCCTGCGCGTACGAGCACAGCTGCAACACACACACACACACACGCATCCAAAAGGACAGTCATCAGAAAGGTCGTTCGCCAGGAATGCGCTCATTCTCTCGATCAAGGCTGAGTCGTTTTTACAATGAATGTAACACATCACCACGTCTTTTGTTATTAAAGGTCGCATCAACTTATCGGTCATTAGCGACCACTATTGCATTTAACGGTATGGTATCTGTGAAGATGACGTAATATGGTGATGATAGGAGCTGAAAGGACGAACACAAATACAGCCATGCTCGATGCGGGAATCGAACCCGCGAACCTTCGGTCAGAAATAGCTAGAGCACTAATGCGTTAACGATCTCGGCCATCCGGACCAGAATGCTGCCCCTTTGTTACCTTTCTGGAGACGCAATTACTCTGGAAATATGTTCAGCAACAGTAAGTGCATTCAAGCTGGGCGCTTGTTACTGAGTAACAAACGTATTTAATAATTCAACTTGTTTAAAGTAATGGCAATTATGTATAAATTCTTTACTGAAAACGACGTGGCAGGCAATAAATCATGTAATTAGAGCACTTAGGAAAGAAAGTGCCAAAACGAAGGGATTAAAATACAAATTCATAATGAGGCAGATACTGGAATATGGCAACATACATTAGGAACGGAATGGTTTAGGGCAAATATAACAAGAAGGCGTAGTGCCACTGCAGATGCAGGGATGATGGTGAAATGAAAGAGGGTTAGGTGGTGAGGGTGAGGGGACAGAACTATCGGGAGAGGCGTTGTGCCAATGAAGCTGAAGGAGAGAGGTTGGAGGGCAAGGGGTGAGCTGGGTGAGCTGACCTGCGGGCAGAGCTGCAGCGGCGGGGCGAGCGCGGAGGGAGTTGTGCCACTGAAGCTGAAGGGGAGAGGTTAGAGGGCAAGGGGTGAGCTGGGTGAGCTGACCTGTGGGCAGAGCTGCAGCGGCGGGGCGCCGTGGCGCGCGCGGAAGGCGTTATGCCACTGCAGGCACTCGGCGATGAACTCGCTGTGCTCCCATTCCGTGTGCAGCTCCTGAGTGTCGCCAGTCGGCGCCCACAGCGGCCGCTGTCGCACGATCTGCCAATAATTGGATAACCTCATTGACATCATTCCTTTACCCTATTTAACATTTTAAACTCCTTTTATCGCACCAAACTCACAGAAACGGATGGGTTTAGGTCTCGTCTATGAGCTTTCTCTCTTAACAAGACATTGTTCCTTATTATCGATATGCTTAATATTTACTTTATCTGTTTTTAATATGCTCAATATCTACTGTACCTTAATCCAGATTTAGTATAAGATTAAATTTTGTGTACATATGAATAGTTATATATACATGAATATATATATATATATATATATATATATATATATATATATACATATAATTTCTTATAGGAATATTATAATTAAAAACTTCAGAGTCTGTGTTGGAGGTCTTATTGAATATCGTGAATGTTTAAAATAATGTCTAGACAGTTACAAATTTTTCAACATTACTTAAAAACATCCAAACATTTGCTTCTGTTTAATTAGGGGGTCGTAGTTAGCTGTACGATGTAGAATTGTTGAATTCACCAAAAAACTGGTGAAGTAATACATGTAGAAGTTTGCGTAGCTTAAAACCAGTGAGCAAATGTTTCTTCGACACCCATCATGCCCATCACATGTCTTGCTGTAGGTCAAAGATTCTACCTCATACAGCTAACTAAACCGACTACCACAGAAATTCAACATTGCAGGAAGTCGGGTTCGTGCTGTGGTAATTTTTTCCAGAAGTATTGCGTGGGCAGGCGATGGCGAGGCCTTCTCGTGAGGCGGCTACGTGCAGGGCAGCGGACGACTGGGACGACGAAGACGGTCGATGGACTCAGTCAGTGATATTTAGCGCTTCCTGTAGGCAACTGCTAAGGCTATTTGTCCTGTTGGTGTAGTGCATGTTTTTATTCCATGAGGTGGCGACCATCTCCAGCTGCTGGATGAGATCCGGGGCCGATTAACACGTCTGCATGCGGAGGGTTTTCCCAACTAGATATCTCCCACTATCGGGGCACCGCCTCAGAACGGACAAGCTATAACCTCCCGACATGTTTGACAGTGTGATGAATGTAAGTGTAAGTGTGTGTAAAGGAAGTGGATATGACAATGAAAAGCTAAGAAAGATAGAGTACGGTCCCTGTGTCCCGTTTGTTAGGGTACTTCTCCGGCATTCACACAGAATTGGAAATCAACCGATTAGTGCAGGCGCCTTCTACATTTCTCCTCCAGACAGTGGATGAATTTGACCTAACTACATTTTTTCCTTGATGAAAGCTGTGTAAAAATAGATTTTTCCAAAATAGCAAAATTAGAAATAATGCGAGAAAGTATATGCTGTTGTAGCACTAGTTACTTTCTCGCATAATACTTACGTAGATCAGAGAAATTATTAGGGAAAAAGAAGCGAATTTTCCACAGACCAACAGGCTTAGGTGGCTCAGAGCATCAACTGTTGTCACTGCAGTGTCTCTGTCCGAGAGGTCTCAGGGTTCGTTTCCCAAAGGCGAAAGGACTTTCGAAATAAGCTTGTCAGCTATGTAGATTTCAGTCGCTATCTGAGGAGAATTATAGCGGCTGGCTGCTCTGATCGGTAGTTTTCCGTGTTTTTTTCCGATCAACACCAAGTGAATGCCGGAGCAGTACCCTAACAAACGAGCCACGTATCGCGCGTGATCTTTCCTTTCTCTTATCTTTCTCTTCTCTCCCCTTCTTCTTATCTTTCCGCCCCCTCTTCCGTTCAATCCGCGCCCCTAACGTACACACACTTACACTAACATGCAGTTCACTACAACGCGAATCGGAAGACCAGTCGGAAACTAACAGCCTGTGTGAGCTGGGTTAAACCACTCTAGTGGGAGACACCTCAGTGCGGAGAGACCCAGAAAGCCAACGTGTTTGTATTCACCAAAACTGATATTACTCGATCGATCTCGCACAACGTCCAGAAGATATATGTATCCACCTCTTCCTGATATTAAAGCACAGATTGGCAATGTTTTCGATGACATGGAGAAGGTCGACTTAAGAAGACGGACGGAATCAACAACCTGAAAGGAAATGGACATTCTGGAGTAAGGACGTAAACGATTGATTGGTCATTTCATTTGGAGTGTCGTGGTTCAGTGAAGAATTCGAATTTAAGGAATGCAAATTGACGTTGGTGGTATAATTTTGATCGAGGACAATATTACGGAAAAGCAAATGGACTAGAATATTTCGGAGAGTCGTTAGTGAAGTGTCTACATAGAAATGGACATAAAGAAAGGGTTGTTGGTTATTTGAAAGGCGAAGAAGGTATACCTAGGTACTGTTCTTGAAAATTGTTAAAAAACTTAAATGTATTGTTCTTTGCAGTTTGCAAATAATATTGTGAAACGTTTTTGTTATTATTAATTAATGATCTTTTTTATTTTGAAATTGAAAGTGTTTTGATTTAATATATCAGGAAGTTACCTTATTTAAATATTTGGTGAATGACATTGAATCATCAGCTCCAATAAATGTTAAATGGATATTTTTATTTTCTCTATTAATTAAACTTAATGAAAAATTAAAAACCATCAAAATATTTAGCAAATTTTTAAATCAATAAATTAATAAATTAATATTTTAAGTATTTTCAAGTTTAACAATTTAAAGTTTTTGTATATATTGTGATCAACGTGCCAATTTGGAATGTACTGATTGGTTTCACAATCACATAATACTGAGGGGCTTCCCGGGTTGAGTGGAGTGAGTCTGTTTAACGACCTGTGAAAATACCAGAGGGACGTTTTTATAACACTGCTGTCGATTTAGGCAACGACACTCCGAGCGATAACATAAACTCTTAACACGAATAACTCCCTCAGATTGTACACACTAAATGTGCAGAGTGATAAAGAGAATGACGTCACGTTTCATTTGGAGACTTTTCTCGATATAAGTTACAAGTTTTCTTATGAGTAATAAAGAAGTGTTTCCTCCTTTTATCACGTACAGGGTGATTAAAAAAGAATAAATGTATTTCAGATAAGTATGCATCCAAAACTAATGATCGCAGAAGAACGTGGCGGGGCCAGGCGAGAAGAAAATGTTTTCAAGTTTCAATCCATTATCGCTCTACTTTTAGCTTCTCGAATGCCTTTTGTTCAGTTCGCGGCAAAATGGCGAACCAAGAGCAAAAATCGTATGGTGTTCTTTTCAGTTGGCCACCACGGTCACCAGATTTACCTCCATATGACTTTTTCTTGTGGTGGTAGATTAAGGATCTTGTTAATGAACCAACACTCCCAAAACACCTGAATGAACAGAACGATTTGATCACTAGTGCTGCAGTTTCAGTGAAGATAGATATATTTGCTCGGGTCTGGGCGAATTAAGAGTACCGCTGTGAAATTGTCCGTGCCGCCGGTGGAGGACATATTGAACATTTGTAGATAAACTTTAGACATTCCTAAGGGTGCAACATGTTCATAAGTGTAGTAATTTGATGTTCCAAAGTATTCCTTTCTAAATACATATATTCCCTTTTAATCACCCTGTATATATTGCTTTTTAAGCAGATAAATTAATGCCCTGAGGCATAGGTTTTTGATCAGCGTGCTCGCTTTCAATGACGCGACCCCAGGTTCGATTACCGGTCAAGCAATATTATAGTGTGCGTTTTCCTTGCAATGTTCCAGTGTGTATTTCTGTGTGACGATGAGAAAATTCACTTCTCAGGTTGAGAAGACCAGAAAACGGCGTGGGGATGTCTCTGCGCCACCCACACGAACCCACTTCGCCCACGGCCGCGATGCCGGGACGCTGCTGGTTGGCCATGGCCGGACGCGCCAAGTGCAAACAAACAAAAAGAAAACATCTTCCGTTTTTAGCGCCTAAAGTCGGAGCCTTTGCAATAACGCGAAGCGAGCGTGGGCGCGGCGCGGCGCGTGTTGCGTGGGCGGCCGCCGCGCAGAGAAGGCAGCAGCAGCGGGGGTCCAGCGGCGCCTTGGACGGCGGATCGATCGGGCGTGGGCGACACCCCGCCCCGCCCCACCACGCCCCGCCACGCCCCTTCCGCCCAGATCGCTCACACCAGAAACAGACCAAAATGTCACACACGCGCCGCGCGAATCAATAACTGCGACCGGAGGCATTCACGACAACTCAAAAGCAACTAATTACAAAACAATTGGACGAAGAGTAAGCAATTCCCCTAAGCCTGTCTTTATTAAGCTACAAATTCTACGTCAGTACAATCTGTCTAAGCCGGAATCGATCGGGACAAAAAAGCCGGTTTAGGAAGATTTCCGTTTTATGTAGGGTCGTTCATTTTATGACTGTTTCGGTGATATTGATACTTCCGTCCTCAAACTAGAGTAAATTACACGACTTTATTATATTTTTAATGGCGAACATACATAAAAACGTATAACGTATTTATGGAAGAAAGTAATAAATCAATACTAAATATTCTTCATTGACGGCTTTTGAGCTTCTCTTGCTTCTGTAAGTTTGACTATTCCATCTGAAGTTAGTTTTATATTAAATTGTTTGTTAAACTCTCAAAAATACACACCACGTCACTATCTAGTGACTGCAGTCGGACTGCTTGCTGGCTCGCACCGCACAATGCGTCGCAGCTCTAGACAGTCAGAGTACTGTGACTGTCCTTCTGATACCCTCGAATGGTTTGAGCAAATGCGTCTCCGGCGGAAGGGTTTCGATTATCAGTGCGGGACAGGGCAACGCGTGAATTGAAACCATTCCCTTACACCTTCGCCCAGAGAGCCTGGAGGGAGGGAATTCCCCTGCGGCCCATGGCTTGACGAAGGGCGAATTCTACACTGACAGCTGAAGCTCCTCTCCATCACTGTGCGACTGCCACGACTAAATCCTGTGCCAACGAGGACACATAATTTAAAGCAAACTCGCAGATACATTCATTTCATTAAGAATATCTCGCGTCTCTCTGCTAATTGATTAAATTCACAGGAATTCCGTTTAATAAAGGGGTTTCTCCCCTTTAGGGCTTAAAAATTGTTATGGAAAAAATGTCCGACTTGGTATGAAATATCATATAGAATTAACGTAATCTTTGCAGA